CAGCCCCCCCCGGCCCCCCCGGCGCTGGCGGAAGGCAGTGGGAAGAGCTGGTGAGAGGACGCTGACGGAGACACTTTTTTCCCATCCTAAAAATAGCAGCTGGCCGTTTCCCCAGCTTCCCGGCCTCGCCAACGCTCTTCCATTAGATGAAAAACCCGAGGCAGCCACCTTCCGTCAGCACGGCTGCGTGTGCCGGGGGAGGCTCACGCAGCCGAAATAGCAGCCGGGGACAGAGAGGGGCAGCGGGAGAGGGGCCGGCCCCCGTTATTCCCGAGATGTTTTAATTAGCACAGCCCCGACTCGGAGGATTTGCTCATGCTCGGTACAACGTCTGACCTTTGAAGAAAAAGAAGAAAGGGAATGAGAGGGGAAGGGGAAAAGGCACTGGAGCAGCTCAGGAGCTGGAAGTCGGCTGAGCTTCAAATAGGCTCCGCGTCAGGCACTCGGAGGCTTTTAATAAGCCACAGAGTGAGAAATTTAACACCATGGGCTCTATTTTTGATCACTTGTGAAGGGGGGGAGAGAAAGACAGAGCGAGCAAGAGGAGGGGGAGGAGGTGGCGGTGAGAAGAGGAGGCAGCCAAGATTACATCCTGGGTGGCAGCACCGAAAATAGCCGTGCCCCACTCCGGGAGGGAGCGGCAGGAGCCACGCGGGGCCCGCGGGAGGCCGGAGCAGTGACCTCCCTGGAGCAGTGACCTCCCCAGAGCTGCTGCCCACACAGGCAGCCAACGCACCTTCCTGGGCTGGAACACGGCAGGGAAAAGGGGATTAGAGCGTGGCAGCTCTGCACAGCAGAGGGAACCCGAAATCCCTCTGGGAGGGTGTGGGGAGGGAGGCACCGAGCGAGGGCCTGGCAGCATCTGGTGCAGTGGGCAGGACATGCATCCCCGGTGCCTGGCACAGGCAGAGCCATCCCCTCACTCAAACACGCCCCTTCCCAGCAGCTCTGGGGCTGGGAAGAGCCCCTCCTGCTTCCCTGGAGCCCCTCCTGCCTTCCCTGGGCTGTGGTGAGTCCTGAGCAGCCTCCTCAGACAGGGCTGTGTCCAGCGAGCCCCGGGTGAGCCACGACTGCAGCAGAGTCACAGCCGCCCCCAGCAGGAAAGATTCCCACCACGCACGGCATCTGCTTCCCTCTGCACCGAGTCTCTGGGGGCAGGGGGAGCTCTCCCTGCTCCGTGTGCCAGCAGCAGCAGGGGATGGGGCAGAGCCCGGCAGCTGCTGCCCAGCTGTGAGCAGCACCGTGCTGGAACAGTCCGGCCAACGGGGATTCCTGCGGTGCCGGAGCCGGGAGGCCGAGGCAGAGCCAGTGGCGAGGTAGGGAACCAGGACAGGACAGCTCTAGAACAGACCTGTACTCCTGTGCTGCCTTAATCCTGCTGTCCAGGTGATTACTGGAGGTGGAGGTGGCTGGAGCACCGGGAGGGGGTTATAAACCTGCCCGATGAGCCTCGTGCGGGAAGATCTGCCCCGGGAATGCCCGGCTGATCCCCAGGGCAGCGCCAGTGACACCTTCCCTGGGTGCATCTGCCCCCCAGCCCGGGGCAGGAGCCGGGAGCTGATCCCAGCTCCACTGCAGTCGCTGTGCGGGAAGAAGGTGACGTGCCATGAGAGGGGGTTGCATTTCCTTTTAATTGATGAGAACGTTTTCTCCACCTCCATTCGCCCCACTCCATCTGTGCAGCTGGGGAGCAGGACAGGGACAGGCTGGGAGTTCTGCACCCACGGTGGGATTCCTGCAATGCACAAAGCAGGGTTGGGTTACTGAGGGGGGGGCTTGGCCGGGCCGTGGATCCCGACCCCAGGGCTTGGCCCTGCTCCAGCTGCTCAACTGCTGAGAGCAAACAGGAGCCAGAGTCTCCCTGGGACCAAAGAGCACCCGGAGCAGAGATGAGGAGATAGTGGGAGCCAGTGCCCTGCTGTGCTCGGGGCTCACAGAGGCTCTCAGTGACTCACCCCCAGCACAGCACACACTGCCACAGTCCCCGACTGCCAGCACGTGGGATTGGGAGGGATGAGGCACAGTCTGAGCAGGGCAGAGGGAAAAGGGGCCATGAGGTAAGAGCTTGGCTTCACCTCCCCCGAGACTGAAGCTGTTTGTCTTAGTGGGAGTGTCCGTGACAGAGGCCACGCAGGGCAGAGGCCACTGCCCAGGCACCCCCTGCCTGCCCCCGAGCTGCCCATGAGCACTGCCAGTCCTGGGGGGACCTGGGGCACCAGTGAAGCCCTGGCAGTGACAGCAGCTCCCAGCCTGTCCTGGCATTAGGGCTGAACCGGGCACAGCCCGGCCTGGCCCTGGGCCCTGTTGCCATCTGGTGGCCCTGCCTCAGCTCTGGGCTGAGGACCCCCATAGGCCCTCCCAGAGCTGAGGCCTGACCCCAACAAGGGACAGCTGCAGAGTCACTGCTCCCCAGAAGCCAGGGCACCACCCCTCGCCCACCCCAGCAGCCCCACAGGACTTGTCCCCAGAAGCAGGTCTGGACACTCAGCCAGGCCCCAGGTGACCCTCACCTGAATCACTCCAGAGCCTTCACCAGGGCTTCGTTGGCTTCCACCTTAATCTGAGCTTCTGCTTTAGCAGCTTCATCAGATGCTGCAGCCACTTCTGACACGGCCTTCTCCAGGTTGGATTTGGCAGTCTGAACAGAGGGGCACAAGGAATGTGTCACTGGGAGACCACCACAGGAGAGGGGACAATTCTACAGCCCCAGAGTCACCCCCTCCCTCCCACTGCAGTTGTTGACCCCGCAGATGCTGAGCTGGGGCCCTGCGGAGCAGCCAACACAGCTGTGCTGGCCCCAGACACCTTATCAGCAGGGAAAAGCTCTTTCTGGAGCCCAAGAGGGGATGGGGACAAGGTCAGTGTCTGTCTGACGGGCGAGAATAGCCTGGGGAAGGTGAATGACTGCACAGTTCCCAATCCCTGGAGCCCTGAGGCTTTGATCCAGGTGATGGGGGTGCAGGCACAGCTCCTGGTCTGGGCAGGGGAAGCTCCTGAGCCAACCAGAGTAGAGAAGCAGGGGGCAAAGCCCCCCGGGGAGCCCCCCCGGGCTCGGGGTACTCACAGCCAGGTCCAGCATGTCCATGGTCACTGCCTCCTCTGCCAGCACCTGCACCGTGGAGTCGGCGTTGACGGTGACGGAGCCGCTGCTCACTGAGGCACAGAGGGGAGGGTCAGCCAGGGCTGCCAGAGGGCTCATCCCTGGCACCTCCACCATCCCTTCCCCAAAACAAATCCTTGGCACCCTCCTGTCACGCTCCCAACATTCAGGGCCTCAGTTCCCACCCCAAGGGAAGCCGGAGCAAGGTATGTTCCCAGAGAGCCTGAGCAGAACCAGGACCCAACCCCACCCCACAGAGCTCCAGCTCCCAGGGCAGCTTCCAGCAGCCCCTGGTAGGGCTGGGAAAGCAGAAACCCCTGAAGTGCAGCAGGGCACACGTGGCTGGGCAGAGCCTCCCTTGTGAAAGCACTGAGAACACCATCCCCACACACACCTTTCCTCCCCAGCTCCTCCTGCCTCGCTCACCAAAGTACTTGGTGGCCGTCCCGTCCTCGGCGTAGACCGTGACCACGCCTGGCCGGAGCACCTGCAGCGTGGGGACGTGGGATGCCAGGATGCCAAAGGAGCCAGTCAGCGTGGGCACGTCCACCTGCTTCACGTTGGCACCGTTGTAGAACACCTGGACGGGGAGGACACAGGAAAACTGTCATCAGGAATGGGGGGATGGAGAGTGGCAGGGAAGAGCCCAGGGATGCAGTGGGCAGCTGGCTCCATCCAGAGGGAGCATCCCAGCTCCATCCCAAGGGAACAGCCCGGCTCCTGACAGGTTCAGCACGCCCAGGTGTGCCCAGGACAGGCTACACCTGCACAGCAGGGAGCAGGGCCGGGTTCCAGAGGAGGGGTCCTGGCACGGGGAGCGGGATGCGTTCCCAGCTCCCGGGGCACACGCAGACACGGAGTCGGGAGTGG